GGTGGGTGGGGCTGAGAGAACTCTGACACAAACTGCTCTTTTTCAAGGACAGCTGTGCCGGAGCTTGTGACTGACCCAAGGTCACATCAGCAGGTGCAAGTGGAGGAGTGGGGAATCAAACCCGGTTCTTCCAGATTAGAGTCCGCAACTTAACCACTACACCAAACTGGCTCTCACAGGAAGGGCTAATTGGAGTCCAGATAAGTATAGCTAAGGTTGGATTAAAGCTGCTGGTAAAACCTATGAACAGCAGCAAACCAGCCTACAGATAATAAAAGAGTTAACAAACAGATGTGAGAACTGAGTGACTTAACATGTGTAGTGAGATAAGAACCCAATATCTCTGTTAAGTCCCAGGGGTTCCATTGTCCTGGGTCTTGACCTATAAGAAAGGCTGGAGGAGTCTGTTTCAATGTATCTAAAGAACTGTGCATACGCAGGTACTGTTTATACCCAGAATAAAACTTTGTTGGTCTCAATTAATTACTCCCAGCATTCTACAGTTAAGAATATACCAGTCTCCGATTTTGACATATTTATTCCCTTCACTGTTTTTGCCTCAGAATTGAACGCAAATGAATGGTTACCATGTAAACAAAGCTTATTATTCCTGTCTGATCCTTAAATCTGTTAAACATCTTCCTTATGCTGTATGATCATTTACTGCCCACAGTCTACCTCTCTGTATGGAACGGCAATTTCCAATTTTGTTTCTGTCTCTGTCTTGACTCTAATTGGCCCTTCCTGACAACTAACCCCTCCCACCCTCTCTCTTTCCATATGTAATGGTTAAGGAAATTCTGTTTCACTGTATCTGAAGAAGTGTGCTTGCATACGAAAGCTTATACCTTGAATAAAGCTTTGTTGGTCTTAACGGTGCCACTGGACTCAATCTTTTAAGGTAGACCTCTTTATTTTGAAGGCATAACTGGAAAAGCCAGTCGCGCTAGGAAAAGTTGAAGGCAGCAGGAAAAGAGGATGACCCAACATGAGATGGATGGACTCAATCAAGGAAGCCCCAGCCTTGAGTTTCCAAGACCTGAGCAATGCTGCTAATGATATGACGTTTTGAAGGTCATTAATTCCTCCTGCTTTGCAGGGAGGGCGGGGGTATAAATTTGATTATAAATAAATAAATAAAAAAAGTAATTCATACAGGTGGTGGCCCTGTCGGTCTGAAGCAGCAGAACAAAGTTTGAGTCCAGTGGCGCCTTTATGACCAACAAAGCTGAATCCTGGGTATAAGCTTTCATGTGGATAAAGGTAAAGGTTTCCCTTGCTCAAGAGCCAGTCGAATCCGACTCTAGGGTTGCGGTGCTCATCTCCGTTTCAAAGCCGAAGAGCCAGTGCTGTCCGAAGATGTTTCCATGGTCCTGTGGCCGGCATGACTAAACACCAAGGCGCACGGAATGCTATGACCTTTCCACTGAAGTGGTACCTATTTATCTACTTGCAATTTCTTGCTTTCGAACTGCTAGGTTGGCAGGAGCTGGAACGAGAGACGGGAGCTCACTCCGTCATGCGGCACACTCGGGTCTCGAACTGCTGAACTACCGATCTTCCACAGCCTGCACTTCAGCGTCTTAACCACTTGAGCCACCTCAGCTCCTTAAGACTAACAAAGTTTAATTCTGGGTATTTATGTGGATACCCAGAATTAAACTCTGTTGGTCTTAAAGATGCCACTGGACTCAAACATTGATCTATTAATCCATAGGATCATCATGTCCCCTCTGATCGCCACTGAGGAATGGGGGATAGGGTTGCCATATCCAGGTTGGGAAATTCCTGGAGATTTGGGGGTGGAGCCTGGGGAGTTCAGGGACCTCAGTGGGATACAATGCCATAGAGTCCACCCTACGAACCATCCGTTTTCTGCAGGGGAAATGATCTCTGTAGTCTGCAGCTGTAATACCAGGGGATCCCCCGGTCCCGCCTGGAGACTGGCATCCCTAGTCAGTCGGAAGCCGCTTGACGGCATTTAATATACCCGCACTGTGGCATAAACTCTTATACTGCGGCTAGTTTGACAGACTCCAAGGGACAATCGTGGAACTTTATAGAAACGAAGCCCGTGCTAAGCCTCCCGGACGTGACCCTACTGGAGTGGCAACAGAACAAATTTAGAATCCAGTGGCACCTTTAAGACCAACAAAGGTTTATTCAAGGCACACTTTTCCAAATACGTTAGCATGGTAGGTAAGGTTCAAACTTTTAGACTGAGACTGGCAGTAGATACACTGAGCTGCAGCAAGCCACGTGGATTTTGCCTCTTTCAGCTCGGCAGGGGCGTGGCTACGCCTCATGCAGACCGCGCCCCCTTCCGGCTCTGAGGGGCGTGGTCGGAAACACAAGGGGAATATTTATTATTTATCACATCTTTACAATTTCTCCTACAGGCTCCATCTATATCCCCTAAACCGCCGTTCCGGAATATATAAAACGATTAAACGAAAAGAAAAGAAAATTAAAACCGCGACGGGAGGCGGGGCCTGTCAGGGGCGCTTCCGGTCGGAAGCCGAAGCGGCTCCCCGCAGCCCTCAGAGAGGGGGAACGGGGGGCGGGGTTTCTCTCAAGTCCTCTTCCGGCGGAAGGGGCGGGAGGAGCGCGGCGGCCATTTTGTCAGCGCTGGGCACCAGGCGGCGTCTGCTGCAGCACCGGAGACTCGTCGGCCTCCCCCCCGGTCCCGCTCTCGCCCGGCCCTCCCGAAGCGCCTCGCCATGATGCTCTCCGTGCGCGTCGCCGCCGCCCTCGCCCGCTCCCTGCCCCGGCAGGCCGGCTTGGTGAGCTGCGGGGGGTTGGCCTTGGCGCCGCCATCTTGGGGCCCGGGGGTGACATTGACATCGCAGCGCCCGCGGTGGGTCGGGTGGAAGGGAACGGCCTGGCGTCCTCCGGTGCCTCCGTGGTCCGGCCCGGCTCCTTCCACCCGGCCCCGCCAGCCCTTCCTGCCTCCCTCCTCGCATCCGTCCTCTCCTTCGGGGCTCGAGGTCCTGCCTGAGAAGGTCATGCCCGAGATTGCACTTCTCGGGCTTTGCATTGGCAAGGGAGGGTTTTTTTTTCTGCACTGCCGCGGGCCTCCCTCGGAGGGGGTTTGGGTGGGTCCGGCTTGCCAGGCCGCCGCAGGAGGGAGGAATCCTTCCTTCCCTGCACCTTCATTCAGAGAGCCAGCTTGGTGTAGTGCTTAAGTGCACGGACTCTAATCTGGGAGAACCGGGTCTGATTCCCCACTCCTCCACTTGCAGCTGCTGGATGACCTCAGGCAAGCCATAGTTCTGATAAGAGCTGTTCTTGAAAAAGAGCAGTTTCTGTCAAGAGCTCTCTCAGCCCCACCTACTTCACACAGGGTGTCTGTGGTGGGGAGGGGGAGGGAAAGGAGATTGTCAGCCGCTCTGAGCTACCTTTGGGTAGTGAAGGGCGGGGTATAAATCCAATCTCTTCTTCTTCTTAAGTGCGCGGTCTCTAATCTGGGTGAACCGGGTTTGATTCCCCACTCCTCCACTTGCACCTGGCTGGATGACCTTGGGCAAGCCATAGTTCTGATAAGAATCTTCTTCTTCTTAAGTGCGCGGTCTCTAATCTGGGAGAACCGGGTTTGATTCCCCACTCCTCCACTTGCACCTGCTGGATGACCTTGGGCGAGCCGTAGCTCTCATAAGAGCTGTTCTTGAAAAAGAGCAGTTTCTGTCAAGAGCTCTCTCAGCCCCACCTGCCTCCCAGGGTATCTGTTGTGGAGTGCCTGTTGTGGGGAGGGGAAGGGAAAGGAGTTTGTAAGCCGCTCTGAGTCTCCTATGGGTAGTGAAGGGCAGGGTATAAATCCAATTTCTTCTTCTTCCCTCTAAGCAGAGTTAGTGTGAGCTTGTTCACAGTTTTTTAGCCTCCGGCTTACACATTTTTGTCTCCCGACGGCGCCAGAGCAAACTCATTTATGCAGTA